ATACTTAGAAATAGTTAAATGTTTTTAGCAAAAATTTGGTATAAGTGATCTACAGAAAGAGTTGCCGGAAAGAGTTTTTCCAAATCTATTTATTTTTAACTATAGGATTATAATCTTTAGACTATTTTTATTCTTGAGACAAACCTATCAGAGTAAGCTGTATTTTCTTTTATCACTAATCTGGTTTGATGCTATGATTAAGACCAATACTTGCAGTCAAGATTACTCTTTAAATCACTATTATCTTTATAAAGTTCATTCAAAACCTGATATCCATCTTTTTGACTTCTTTTTTATCATTTTCTACTAGTTGTAATTTAGAACTAACTAATTCCTCAGACTTCCAATTCAGATGATCTGATATAGTATACTTATATATCCTTTTTTTTCGATGATTCTGGTAGCCTGGTTAATTATATGCTTCTCTACATATCTTTGTTATTTGATTTATCTGACAATTTCTATAAAAATGTTTCATGAGCTTCTATCAGTCCAATGACATTATTAAAAGTTTGTACTACCTCTTTACTTGAAATTTCCAAGTGGGTTTTCATCTTCTTGGTTTTTTAACTTTTTATGTCCAGTGATCTTATCATGAGTTTATACTGAAATCTTATATGATACTGATTTTTCATATTCCTCTATATACATGTAACATTATAGTTTACATAGATGCTCTGAACTTCCAATGTTAGGTAAGATCCAACTTGGTGTACTTAAGATTACAGATGCCCAAAACCCAACCAATTGGCAAGAGACAGTTACCATAATACAGATATAATTTCCAAAATTCATCATCTATAGAAATTGAACCTTAGACCTGCCACTTGAGGGTTGACAACCTATCCCCACCACACCCCATTAATAAATTTACATATTTTATATAACAAATTATACTATAAATTTGTTTATAAAAGAGGAAGAAAAAGGTCTAAATACTTTTAGTACAATCTAACCTCAATATAATCATGAGGTTGGTAACCAAAATTCAATGTGACTAAGGCGATAGTGCCTAATAGAGGTTAAATTCTTATTGTTATATTTTACAATCATTAGTAAACCAAAAATGCAATTTTTATATAATTTGGGACTATATCAAGAGTGACTATACCGAGGTTAGACTGTATATGAGTGCGTGAGAGTGAAAACCTGGAAACCGATCATAGAAAATCATTAAATCGGTTTCCAGGTTTTCACTCTCACGCACTCATATAAAAAAAAAAAAAAAATATGGACATGCTGAAGACCCCGAATAAAAAGAAAATACGTAATGAAGCAACGGAAGAAATAGAGCTAAGTAAAACTGAAACCATATATCCAAATTTTTTAAATATTATTAACCAAGTTAATAATTGGTAATAAAAAAATACATATCTTTTAATATTAGTCTTTAACGAAACTAAAAAGTTTCAATACCAGTACAGTAATAGTCGTAAAACTTTGTTAGTAGAAGTTCAATAAAATACTACTATAACGTTAAAACTATAACTTTTGTTTTCTCATTTAAATCGTTTACTGTTCAGATCAAAGTAGATTAAATTGCCAAACGACGAATTGAAGGAGACACTTTAGATACGCGTCATTTTTTTTAACCAATCTATGCTATACAGAGAGTCGTTATGCCTTTAAATAGTTTCCTGTAGACATGATCAAAAGGGGCTTGACCATATACTTTCTTAATGTCAAGCTCCATGTGTCATGGCCGAAGATTTTAAAGTCGAACCTTTGTGACACATTAATTTACTAATTCTTTAATAACGGGATTTATGGCTTACATAATGTCACTTTTAGCCATTTTTTACAAGGGGATCACCAAATTTCTGGATCGGATTCATCGGATAGCGTTACCAACCTAAAAAATTTCGCCAAAAAAATTTCACTACTAGATTAGTGTTAGATTTTGCTTTAATTTAGGTTAGAAAGAGTTCTTTTAATATCAAAATTTCGTAAGGAAATTTTTATTAATGCGTAGAAGGTAGTTTAATAGGTAAAATGTTGAATTATGAACGATTTTTTTGTTTGAAATATGATTAGCCAGAGAAATTTTTTAGGTTGGTAACAAGTTATACAAATCGACCATTTCTGAGCCAAAATTATCAGCCGGCAGCTTTACTTAATGAGTGGGCCATTTAGTGATCAAGTTAATTCCGGCCCTGCCGATCATGATTCTGAGGTATTCCGATCCGGGATTTTGGTAACCCCTCTGTATGAGTTCTTTTAGCCGCTAATTTATTTCAAACTACATAATCTACAATTTTTCTGCGAGGTAATACTAGCATTATAGATATTTTGATTTCATGTTCTAGTAAAGAGTTTCTCTTTAGAAAAAAAAAGTTTTTTATAGCAAACATGTCCAATATGTGGGATAAATTTGTGTATCATATATTAGGTAGCTAATGCATAAAAAACGAATGTTTACTGTTACATTAACACTAACGAATTTATAATTAAATTCAATTCTTATCAAGAAATTATTTGAAATTTTAAGCAATCAATTATAATTTATTGAATTATGGAATCTTATGTTAACAAAATTAAATTACCAAATTCCAAAAGATGGATAAGTGGTAATAAAAATATTGACGAATTTATACAAAGCACTCATCAAAAGGATAGAAAACCTATATTATGGGTCCCATATAAAGATTTTTCAGATATCAAACGTATTGGTGATGGAGGATTTTCTACGGTTTTTTCAGCACACTGGAAAAATCATGCAACTAATGAACTTGTTGCACTTAAATTGCTTCATAATTCGCAAAACCTTTCAGAAAGATTTTTAAATGAGGTAAATGGTTAATAAAAAAAAATTTTAATATCTTGAAAAGGAACATTCTTAAATTATTTAAATACTAATGAATAATTTTAATCAAGCTAAAAGCACATCATGAATGTTGTGAAGATAATTCTGGATTTTTACAATGTTATGGAATCTCACAAGAACCAATAACCAAAGATTATATATTAGTAATGCAATTCGCAACAAATGGTGATTTGCGTAAAGATTTAAATACCATAGTCAAAAAATCATGGAAAGATAAATTGAGTATTTTATATTCAATTATATTTGATCTTAAAATAATTCACACACAAAATCTAATTCATAGAGATTTACACACGGGTAACATACTTCGGAGCCCATATAGAGTGTTTATAGCAGATATGGGGCTTTGTATTCCTGCAGGAAATATGGACGATTATGATTCTACAGGAACATATGGAGTTATGCCTTATATGGCTCCAGAAGTTTTACAAGGTCAACCATATACCAAAGCTTCAGATATATATTCATTTGGAATTATCATGTGGGAATTTTCAACAGGAATACCAGCATTTAGTGATAAAGCTCATGATATATATCTTCAACTACAAATATGTGATGGATTAAGGCCAAAAATTGTTAATGGGACACCTGAATGCTACGTAAATATTATGAAAAAATGTTGGGACAATGACTTGAGCGCACGTCCAACTGCAGATCAATTATATTACATTTTTAAAAAGTGGTTTACAAGATATAATAATGGTATATATTCATTCAATCCGGTTGAAAGATTAGAATTTATGCAATTTTGGGAAGCAGATAAAATTATACGTACTATATCGACAACTAGCATCTCTTCTTTAATTACTCATGATAAAGCAGTTTATACAAGTCGATTTCTTAGTTATGTTTCTCGTCAAGAACATGAAAATATTTTTGAAAGAATGAGTAAGGTTGATAGGTCAGATAATGAGCTCTTGAATGGTGATTATGTTTTTTAAAAAAATTATTCTTATTTTCTATCAATTTTTTTGTTTCTATTTGTATAATTAAAATTTACGTATATTTTTATAAATTTATTCAGGCATTCCGGAATAATTTAAGTAACTAGACGTTCAATATAAATATATAAATTTTGATTAAAAGTCAGAATATTAAATGCGATTAAATAATAACTTGAAGTAGAGATAAAATTTTATAAAAATAAGGCTGTTAGTAAAAATTTTCTCTACGTTAAGTAGATAATGTTTGAAAGTTACTAAAATATTACAAGTCAAAAATACAGAAATAAGGAGGATGCCAAAAATGGGTTCTTTTATACCGTATTTTCGTGTTATAACGATAACGCTATTATTTTGAATACGAATGTGTATTATTTTGAGTTAAAGGCGACTTAATTTACATTGATCCAAACGTACGCGTTGTTTAAGGACGCGTATAAGAGTTACTTCATGTTTATTAGTGCTATTAAGTGAAAATACGATAATCTGATTAGGGTTATGTATCCATGTGCATATTTTCACTAATAAACGTATATACTGTATTAAGATTATAAAGAAATGAAATCCTAAGTTCTTATATGCAATCATATTTTAACCTTATGAAATTTGGTTTCCAATATTAAGTAGTCATAAAACATGAACCACGGAAAATACATAGAGCATTTTTTGCATCACTGAATCGTGGCGAGGCGAAGCCACGGGTAAATAATCTAGTCCGGAAATATATCCCGCCCGTAAAGAAATATACCTTACGTCATAATAATCCAATATATATATATATTTATAAAAGAATTGTATGTATGAGACACTGGGCTATTCCCATACATAGTCTTAGTTCTTGCCGAAGACAGTGGCTATTTATTTTTATCATATTGATATACGTTGATTGTTGATCGGCAGTGGTCACGAATAGAGGCAAACAAAAAATCTATGCCAGGTTTTGTTGATCATTGTGTCGCAGCAAAATTTTTTAAAGTTCATTAATGTTAGGGTTAGTGTTTGGAATAAGTTAAAGATTAGATAGTTGTATAGTAAAATTGCAAGGAAAATTTTTTGTTAAAGCGATAAAGGAGAAATAAGCGAGTTTTAACAAAACGAACGTTTGTTTTGAACGTGTTACAAAATTCTAGATATTTACCTGTTTACCTGTGAAATATGAAATAAATTATCCCGTCTTTCGAACAACAATCAACTAGGTGGGTCGAAATTTTCGCTTAGTTAGTGCCTGCAGCAGAAAAAAATAGCTACTGTTAGCAATGAAGATGCGTCTGCGACAGAGGAAGACTGTCGGAAGCCAGTAATGGCAAGTCATCGTGTAGAGTTGGCCGGTTAATCTAATTGTTCAGAAGTTTTTAAGTTGTTAATCAACATAAGGCGTCTGCAACAGAGGGAGACTGTCGGAAGCCAGTAATGGCAAGTCATCGTGTAGGGGTGGCCGGCCTTATTTTGAAGATTAACTAATTTTTACTGTTTACTGCATTTATTTCGTTCAGCAAGATATTGATTTTTTTTCTATTTCGTAAGCTTGCCATGGGAAAAGGAAATGTTAACATAACCTTACAAGAACGTCACATTAACTGAATGTTAACTTGTCCTGATCCAACTCCGCTTGCGTTTTTTTCAATATATATTTCCAATGCATCGAATTAAAGCTTCTGAAAAATACCATACAACACTTAATTCGGCTTTGGGTGAAATTGATAACCGGGAAATCTTAATTGCTTGAAGTTTTAATTTCATTTTCAGAATATTAATTGAGACATCACAAAATTTACTTTTTTACTCTCATCGATCTTTATTTATATTTACCGCAGAACTAAATCCGATATGTTGTGCTTTTTACATATAGGGATATCGATAACTTATTTTTGATAATCGACTTGAGATATATGTGTATGAGTGCTGTAGAAGAAAAACTTGGAAACAAATATTTTAAGTTTTCACTGCAGTGAACCTAAACCCTAAGTATAATACTACGTATTGGTACTACAGCTGCTTTCAGAAAGATGTGGGAAATATTATGGATTCTCTATAATAGTGTTCTGCATCTTTCCACAACTTTCTGAAAACAGCTGTAATAGTTGGTGTTTTGGTTGTTTAGGAAATACATCAGGAAATACGTCAGGAAATAGTTCTGGTGGTGATGAAAAAACCAGAATACTAATCATCAATATCAATATGTAATACGTAGGATCCAAGTTCGTCACAGTGAAAATTTAAATATTTATTTCCAGGTTTTCTCTCAGCAGCACTTACATAATAAACCAACATCATTATACACTTATTAAGTACTTAGCGCAGTGGCTGAAATAAAGATATCCTCAGATCCTATCATTTTCCTAAATCCTGGCGAGTTAGCCCGCATTATGTTGGGTTAGTGGTAATCCCGGTCAATTTTTATATGGTCATTGAATGATTGTTGTATAACTTATCACACCTAATATAGGGTATATAGTAAATTAGTACGCAAATTGGGACGGACATGTGGAAATCATAGTAGGTACGGTTTGTAAAAGAAAAAATTCATTCGAAACAAAGACAATTGTCCTATAACCTCACACGAAAAAAGAACAATGCTCGTACTTCCCCTAACCATAAACATTGAAAAGATGGTTTACTTGTAAAGGATTAAGTCACCTGGCATTAGGATGTGACGAATCATCGGTATGGTGAGTAAGCATTAGCTAAATAATTATATTTAATAATGCTTATTAGCCACTCCCAATGATTCGTCACATCCTCGTGCCAAATGGATAATGGATTTAAAAATTAATATTAATTGTATGTACTATCAAAATTTGCTCAACTTTCGTACGTCCGTACATATTTGTAACTGTGCCGTTTATTTCGCCGACAATCATTTCACCAACATCACATAGGGTTAGTATTAGTATTTTATTATTTACTGGTATATATTTTTATTAAATTGTCGCTTGGTGTGATGGTTAAATGAGCTGTCGGCGCAGTGAAATAATAATGTACAATCGTACAGTACTACTTTACTACCTACCTCAATATATGATATGAACGCTCACCTCTTACGCACGTACGTACGAGTTGAGAGTGAATGGTAATGCTTTTTAGTTAAATAATACAAAAATTTAATAATACGTTATTAATATTAATAATAGTTAAACTTCGATTATCATTAATAATAGTTAAACTTCGATTATTATTAGTAATAGTTGAATTAAATAAACTACCAACAGAGTTAATTTCATAATGCAACTTATTTTATAATGTGCATTTCTAGTCCGTAAAAATGAGAAAATATCGTATGAAACTTTTCGACCTGTACTAATTAGCTGCGTTAATAATTCGATTAATAAATTAATTTAATAATCAATTATTAATACAACCTGATATACGTATAACTATTTATGCTAATGTTCGCTACACAAAATTGACCTAATAACAAGCGTGACGTTATATCACATGATTACACTTAATTATGACGTGCTATATTTTTTATGTCCGATATTAGGACGGTACGTATCTGTCAACGTGTGAATTCATGTACATTTATTTACTATTAAAATTTTAAATACGTATTGTGTTGTGTGCTACTTAGAATTTCATTAAATTGTACGTATGTGTATGTTATGTGTCGTTTATTGATTTATGTCAATTCGGAATTGACAGGAATTAACAATCCTCTAAATTTTTTGCATAACCTTCTTCTGAACCGACCTATTATAAAAAGGCATTTGTTAATAGTGTGTAATTTTTATTTAGTGATAAAGAAAGATACATAGCTGGTTCCTCGTTTGGAATCAGCTGTCTTTACTAACAACAAAGAACAAAGAGTCAACAAAGTTAGGGTGCCCGAATAGAGAACTATGGAGTGGTTACCAAGTTTGTCATACCCGGTAATTCTGCTAAGAAAACTCTCGCTCTCTTAGAAGTTACTCTAACTTTGCAAAATAAAAACAACACACCTTATCTCTTAAAATTTTAAAATCTTCTGGGTTTAATAATGTTTGAGCTTCATTTATGAAACGGGTATTCCATGCATTGTTAAGATCTCTCCAGTTTGAAGTAGTCGAAGTAGTATCAATGATCATGTCTCGACATGGAATAAAAAACTTCGAAAAGATTTAGTTTTGTGTTGCTTTAAATAATCATGAAGTCTTTTAAAACCCGGATATTTTTCATTATAAACGCGTTCAGATGTAGAAGTTTCATTATAAACGTGCTCAGATGTAGAAGATATTACTGTAGAATTATACGCATCAGGTGTTTAGTGTTGCAAAATAAATATTTATTGTGGTAAACACGTGACATTGTTAACTCGGTTCACATTCTCTGTAATAAATGTTAGAGTTACGTTTTTGATGCAATTAGGGTTATTAGTTTATATAAATATCAAGAAAGTAATTTATGCCAAGTGTAGATCATTTCCAAATTTATACTGGCTCTAAACGACCCCAGAAAAAGGAAATTCTTCATGTTACTGTTTGATTACCTCATTGTTACTCCAAATTTCGAGCAATATGTGATATAAGTAATTTAATAAATGTCACGGTTAAAGATACTAAATATTTTGGATATTTAAAGAATACACAATACCATATCCGCCATAATACCCATACTTACTTTATATCAATATGATATTTAATCGATTATTTAATTAAACCTGATTATAGTAAATTTACTAATAGTGCTGATATAGGTTGATTTACCGTTACTTAGTTGGTTTACCACCCTACGTACGTAAATGGTTATGATATGTAGGTTCTCATTGTATTCACTAGATTTTTTATTATAAACTGATGATCATTTTATGAACAGTATTTAACCGACATCACATAAAGTGACCATTATATGAACAGTATTTAACCGACATCACACAAAGTGACCATTTATTAAAAATATATACCTGCAACTAATTCAACAAATCAAAATGTTAACCTTAACCCCTATGTGATGTCGAATAAATAAACTTTCGGTAAAATTACTTTCGGTAAAATTACTGTCGATGAAATGAGTATCGATGAAACTATATTAAAAAATAATTCGTTTTTAGTAATGCATGTATGTTAAGACCTTAATGTTGAGAAACAGTTAAACAAAATAAGTACACTAATGGAAAGTACAAGTTAAAAATTACCCAAGATATTACTAATACTATTAAACACAATCACTTGACAATGTTACAGATATCGGATGATATTAATTTAATATCCAACTTTATTTTTTTTAAAAATCCAATTTTATACCGATAATATTTACAAATCGGTGAATCACTAGAAATTCGAATATTAGAAATATTCAATAAAATCTTTCAATCTTTTTGAACAATTGCACAAAAGAATATTTTGATATTTATTTTTATCCAAATTAATTATTTACATAAGTTTACACACACTGTATAAACTGTCGAAGAGGGTGTATAACATTTATTTTAAATGTTAAAAAAAAAAAAAATTTGATACTATTATACGTATGAAAATATTTTTACATATTACTTTGCCTAAATCCAATTCTTAGAAAATATATATAATGATAAACTAGTGTTTAAACTAATGTTTAATGTTTTTTAATTGAGCCCATACAGTATGATCATTAGTAACAGCTTCAAATAGTTTATAATGATTTAGAAAAGCTACTTTTAAATTGTCCAAATCACTTTGACTAACTGGTTTTTGATCTTGCAAACCCAATTCTTTACTTTCTTTATATAAAAATCCTCTACAATAATTAAAATAATCCGAGTCTTTCTTTATAGAACTTAATAAGGTTGTATATAATTTATCAATTATTTCTGCACTAACATCATTAGATAATTTTTTAACTTTCTCTTCTCTACCTTGTTTTCGTAAGAATTCAACAAGTTCAACTTTATGATTTTGACGAATTAAAGCAAATGCATAAAATTGTTCAACAGATTCTAAAAGTTTTAACCAAAGATTTAATTCTTGTTGTGACCAATCACCAGGATTAAATCTAGAAGAGTCAAACATTCTTTTACTCAAAGTTTTTGCTCTTTGACGAGTAATTGCAGCAAATCCACCAATATTTTCCAAATTATATTTCAAAGAAATACGAAGGTCTTTGAGCTTTACTAATATATATCTGTATTTTTTAATACGAGCTTCTTTGTTAAAGTAAAGGTCTATTGAGTCCATTGTTAATATGAACGATGTGAAGACACTAAAATAATATGAACGATGTGAAGACACTAAAATAATATGAACGATGTGAAGATAGTAAAATAATATGAATGATGTAAAGATACTAAGACACCAAAGTAATATGAATAATGGGGAAGATAGTTTTTTGTGGTTATTTATATCATCGAAATTGGAAGATCAAAACCATATACGAACATACCGATATATGTACCGATACTTGAATGAGGTAAATTTATACCTTTTTTAAATTATTTGAATAACGTTTTACATATTATTTTACTTTTTATTTTTTTTAATAATAACAAATGATATCTTTTTTTTAACCGATTAGATTAGTACTTAATAATACCCGGCTTATCGGATATTCTTTTAATTCTAGGGAATGTTAAACCTTAATGCCACTGATCCTCCGTATCCTCCGCATAAGCGGCGATATTACCTATACGTACGTACGTACTAATCTCCGACGAGTTAATTAATTTCCTGCCATTTACGTCATTACGAGAAACAGAGACTTAAACTTTTTTTTTTTTTGAAGTGCATATAAATAAATAAATAAATAAATAAATATATATATATATATATGTATATATAAAGAGTAGTAGAGAACAAAAAAAAGTATTTCTTTATTGCAAAAGTGGAAACCAATTGTAAAGCTTTGTCAATATCAAAAATATCGATAATCGATATCGCTTAAAAAAATTTTGGCGTATGTTTTATGGGAATAATTTCAATTTTCAATTATATAATGTAAAGTATCATAAGATTAAATGCATATGGCATATGCATCGATCCCAAAATGACAAACGGAAAACGGCCGAAGCGGTTTCCATTTAAAAATTAAGAATCCGTTAATATTCTTTTATTATAAACTTTAAGTTCATTCCCCCTCTCAAAATTCAATGCTTTCATTGTCCTAAATATTGTAAAAATAAGATACCGATTTCGCATAATGATAACAGTAAAGTGAGTAGGTAGATGTCATTAGCTTCAGCCGCAACAATAATCCTTCCTCTAAGGGCTTATTCATTAAAAATTGCTTTTTGTATTTTTTTAATGTAAATGATAAATATTTTTAAAAATAGAAACACACATCCGGATTTAAAGTGTAAAATCAAGAAATTACCGTATGGCGTGGTCTAAAAGACCTTCACTTCCACTTATATGGCATGATAAATAGGTTTATTAAGTCACTAATTGTTAAAAAAAATTACTGAATTTAGAGGATCTTCTACGCTAACCATAATATCCCTCCGACTATAATACCCATATACATATAAAGCTTGAATTGTAAAGTTAACTTGGATATTTTAGACCAGATATACGATAGATTTTTTTGGTTACTATTATACAAATAAATATCGAATTTCATTATACTGTTACGTATAAATTACTTGTTTCATATTTTTTTTACATTTGATAAATATATAATCTTCAATTCATTAAAGGTCATTTAAAGTGTTGATTAGTTGATGTTTCGACTGTCCTTTCCGGAATCAAACAATCAATCAATCATAATTGGGGGTTTCAGAAAATCTTATTTATTTTTCCGATTCTTATTGGAAAAATCATAAAATGCCCAAGTTTTTTTTGCCAATTTTGAAACCCCCAATAACGATAGTGGAAAATCTTTACTAATCCAATAATTTTTATAGTTAACGTTATTTGATTAATGAGATTAATTATAAGTTTTTTTAAAAAATTTTTTTTTTGCTAGGAGTACGTACTTGATATTTTACGGTAAACATGACATAACAATGGTTTACCCAAAAGTATGTTGACCATAGCACAGTATACACATGTGATAGTCTATAGTAAAACACAAAAGTTTTTTTTGTATACAGAATTGTGCAGAAAATCTAATAAAGGACACAATATTCCACAAGCGGAACTTCTGAATGACCATCATTACGCAATAATTTACATTAATTTTACAATAATTTAATGCGGGATTTTTTAAACCGAAAGAACATAATGAACCGATGTCGATATTGTTGTGTAATGACAATTATAGATTAATTAATAATAATGTAGAAAATTCTTATGTATACGAATTGCAGTACGAACGTATTCTGAACTAATGATGGTTAAGTAATATTTAACTTTATATTAACTTTATACGTATACGTACTACGATACGTATATATTTAGCGTTGCAAATATGAGAAACCGTCGATGTTACCTTCACCCGGTGTGCAACATATAAAAAAATCATTTTTACAATATCAGATCATTCCGCTAGTACACGTTATGATTATAATTTAACACCATTTTTATTATAATAAAATGGTGTTGGATTATAATCATAACGTGTACTTAGCGGAATGATCTGATATTGTAAAAATGATTTTTTTATATGTTGCACACCGGGTGAAGGATCAGTTGTGTAACATCGACGGTTCCTCCTGTTATAAGTAGTACGTTATAATTGTACAGTCTTGTATTGGCCCAACTTATGTGATGAATAGCGTCACACAATAACAATAAGGAGGTAAATGAACTCCACCAAACTACTGGCGCCACCTATGTTCATAGCAATAGCAGTACTGATTCATCTGCTGCAATCAAGATACAGTATTATAATTCATCACATAGTTTAACGATGTCCCAAATAGTTTGGGTAACATCGTTAATTGACGTATGTCGGTCATGAGGTTTAACCCGTGTGTAACCGGTATTGCAAATAATCGTAAGGTCAATATCAGTATAGGCTAAAAAAAGAGGGGAAAGCCTTCATAGGTAGAAGTTTGTCTGATTGACTAATAAATTCAATTTAATTTTACATTATTTATACAGTTTAGAGTATTTTTTTAAAAAAAACAAACCAATCATAATGAAATAAAAAAACCACAGAAGGTTTTATTAGAGCTTTAGAACTCCATAGCCAAAAATAAGATCTAATTCTCGTCTGTTAGTATAGCGATAGTAATAACTTATCAAATCCCGATAAAATCAACTTATTGCTAAGCTAATTTATTTAAACGAACGAGAATTAGATCTTATTGTTGCCTATGGAATCCTACAGCTCTAATGAAACCTTTTATATAGTTTTTTTTTGACTTTATTATAGTTGGTTTTCGTTTTTTAAAAAAGTACTCTAAACTGTATAAATAATGTAAAATTAAATAGAATTTATTAGCCAATCAGATGAACTTCTTCCTATGAGGAAAGCCTAGGTGCTGCGGAAAAGCCGAAAATGACAAAAAAGATCTTCAGAAAATCAATTTACATATTATATTAATCTTATAATAAAATGCAAATTTTAAAGAGCTATGGTGCCGGAAGTTTATACTCGACAATCACATGAAATGTTTCAATTTTCGCATGATTGATGTTGGCCAATAATAAATTGGAAAAAATTAGTGTTACAATACAACTACGTAATACGTATTTTATGTCAAATTAATTTACTAATTTTCTAAAATAAGATATTGATTCATCTGAGAGACATATTAGCAATATATTAATACTAAAAAATAAATATTTAGTGTTAGTAAATAGTATAAATAAGTTAATGCAACTAATAATATATTATATATTAAAATTAACAGTATAACATACTTAAGATAAAATAAAACAATAAATACTAATTATTTTTTATTTAAATTTATTTCTTTTATGATATTTCAGTTGTTTTACCTTCGTTATAAGCATCTATATATCATCAAGATTTACAAGCATATTTATAAATTGTTGTAATAAGAACATTAACAAGAGCTTTTATAACCTGTTGCTATAAATCAAAATAACTATATTTGTATAATAATTTTGTCTTTTATTTTATATAATTTAAATATTTTTTAATAAAGTTATATTTATAATAAAATTTGAAATATTACTTTAAAATATGTTTTTTTTTCAAAAAGCATCATTTCAAGCATCATTTCAAGCATTGATTTTTGTTTACAAAAATCAAGTTGTAATATAATTTATTATACATAGCAGTCTGATCTTTCTAAATTATTATGCTTATTTTTTTAAAACACTGCTTATATACTAAATAAATATCTTGTAATAATTATAATCTATGCTCAATAAGTATTTATTTAATTTATTTTAGTTTTTTTCTATATTTTGTTATATAATAATTATTTAAAAATAACATTAATTGTATTTATTTTTTCTTCATATTCATTAAAATACTAATTATTACACATTTTAGACTAAAGTTTATTTTTATTATAATTAATATATTTTTAGCTATAGCATTTTGATTAATTAATTGATTAAAACAAAAAATATTACTACAATTAGGATAAAGTATTTCAAATATTAAAATTTAATATTTTATAAGCTATTTTAATATATGTTTTATTCATTTTACTATATAAAATAAAAAACAAATAACATTTTATACTTCATATGAATGTTTACTTTTATTTGTTTATTAAATAATTGTAACAATTTATAACATAAGTAAAAAATATTTAATTAAATACTTTAGATGTTTTGAATATAAAAGATTTTTTTATTTTTTTAATTTAAATTTTTTGTTTTCTATTATTTGTATTAAAAATAATATTTATTTTATATAACTTATATATGTTTTTTTATACTAAATTTATGTAAGGTTTCAATACAATATTTAGTATATTATTATTAAAATCTTTTATATATTTTCTATATATAAAATTATTAATGCATTAAATTAAATTAAAAAGAATCTAAATTATTTAATTATAACTAATTTTATTTTACAAATAATTAATTTATAAATAAGTTTAGTCTGTAAATAATTAATTTACAAATAAATTTATTTTATAAAAAGTTTTTTATATTACCTATTTAAAAAGTTTGTCTAAAAGTTTATACTAATTGTTATATTTAATATTCTGCTTAGATATTTTATTTTAAACTCTCTAAACTTATAACCTATATTAACTTTACTGAGTTATGCTCAAATTATTCTCTTAACTTTAAAACTATTTTATTTTTAAAATAAATTTTTAAAAGCCTTTGTATATCTATTCTACAACTAATTTAGTATTAATATA